CCAATCAAAGGGAGAGGTTTTTTTTAGTGCCAGGAAGGAAAAAAAACGGGCAGGAAATGGAAAAAAAAAAACGTACCCCAAATCCAGTCATTCCTGGGGGGAAACCACGTCGAGGGCCCTCCACTCCAAACCAACGATACAGATACAAATGCGGAAAAAAAAAATCCCCCCCCAGTACCAAAAATACCACCATCCGATAAAATTTTCTTTGAAAATATACAGGGTCTAAAGCCAGAATAAAAAAAAAATACCTTTCATCCGTGGATGCTTGCAGAGGAAAGGAAAATGTTCGGGGCTTTCACTGGACCCACATAAAGGATACTTGGAAAATGAAATATGGATCCCAGGTTAAAACCTATACGATGTGCAGAGTAAAACAGGCAAAAGGGGGGGGTTTGGGGCCTGTACATTCAGAGTCATTGTTTGCACAGAACTGTTAATCCCTCAAATGACGATGGAAGTTTTAGAGTAAAGGTGAGAACCAAAACCTGTATTGTGGTAGTCTACAAGCCTCCAGATGCAACACCCCAGAAATTTCCCGGGACAGCTTTTAAAAAAATTGCCCACTGTTGGAAAACTTCCACTCCTGCCCCCAACATCTTGCTCCTGGGGGATTTCAATTTAAAGGGCACCTAAAATGGGGGAATTACAAATAATTTTTGTTGCGTAATAACCCGGGAGGCAGCTCTATGAAAACTCACCCCACACGAGTTTTAAATCTTCACAAAATTCAATTTAAACCAGCAAATAATGAGCCTCTAGACTGGAGAATACACAGACCTCATATTCATAACAATGATGATCTGATAAGAAATGTCACCATTCAAAAACAATATCCAGATCACAAAAAAATTGAGGTTCAACATGTTCGGGAGCCCCAGCCCGACAAAATGAGACAGTCCGAGGGAAGCATTCACAAAATTCAACTTCAATAAAAAAAAAACATAAGTGGGACCAAGAAAAACCAAGCCTAACCGATATAAGCTGGGAAAGTATACTAACAACACAGACCCAAATTAGCCTAGAACAGATTAACTCGGTGGCACTCATGTAGAAAAGGCTTTTTCCTCTAAAAAAAAAGGAGGAGGATGTAAAATAAAAAGAAAAGGCGCTCCTTTACAGGCACGGAAAAAATAACAGAGCTGCTAAAAAGAGGTCAATATATCTGAAATGCGCAGGGAGACATGGTCAGAGAAAAAAGCAAGCATCGAATTAAGCTAAAAAATCCTTTGGGGTCAGGAACGCGGGGGAAGAAACTAAAAACATAATGAAATCGAAAAACCCCCAAAGTTTTTCTCTCCTTGCCAAAACAAAAATTTAGAACAACGCCCAGATTGGGCCCCACTTAAACAAGATGGGGCCTACACAGATGACAGCAAGGGAAAAGGTGACAACCTCAAATCCCAAAAAGCTCAGTTTTTTGGGAAGCCCTAACAGACTGAGGTCGAAGATCAAAAAGAATTTTTTTTAAAAGAGCCCCAAAAAATTTTTAAACAAGCCTATCCATGTTTCCTGACGCCAAAAACTTTTAACAGGCATAAAGACATGCCATGCATTGCCCCCGGGCCCGACTCATGGAACTTGTGTTTTATAAGAAAGCAATAAGCCCCTATCACGAGCCTTTTCCTCCCTTGGGAGGGAGCATGGACAGGGGGGGCGTCCCCCAGTTTCTAAAAAAACAGACTAGCCCCACCACAAAGGGGGGGAGTAAAACAACAGCAAAGAATACGACCAATAGCACTAACTCCCTATCATAAAAAAACTTTGAAAGGGCCTAAAAGCAAGACACCACCCATCTAGAAACCCATAGTTTCACAAAAACCCCCGGGGAAATGGGTTTAGAACAGGTTCCCCCCTTCTTTCAGCTATGGATCATACGACAAGTCCAAACATAAAGACAAAAAAAAATGCAGATGTTTTTAAAATAAGACTTTTAAAAGCCTTCGACAAGTGTGACCAGGCGTAATTTGCCACAAAAATGGCGCTAAAAGGAATAACAGGAAAAAAACGGTCGATGGATCTATAATTTCCTCAATACAGAACACAGAGAGTTTCGTCAACAGAGTAAATCCGAGGCAGTACGGGGAAAAGCTCTGTTCCACAAGGCACAGTACTAGCTCCCCCTTGTTCCTCATCCTCATACCGCATAGACAAGGAGTCAGCCACAGCCCGTGTCTTCCTTGCAGTTTACACCCGAATCTGCAAAGACAGTGTCTTCCATGCAACCCGCAAGGCTCCCCGGGGACATCAACCCAATCTTTCAGTGGGCTCAGAAAACAATTGAAGTTCAACGTGAGAAAAATTTTAATTACTGTATGGTAAACATGGGAAATTAAATCTTCATCAAAAAGTACAAAACAAATTTGGCCACGAAATAGAGGAAACACCCAAAGTAAAGACCTGGGGTTGATTTGCGGAGGGTTCACCCTTTAAGGACCTAACATTTTATCAATCGCATCTGCTGAAAAATGAAGGATGGATAATAGAACCCCCAAACTAGGGGCCAAGCCCATATGACACTCTTAGGTCACTTTTTCTATTAGGCTGGAATATTGCTGCACTCTAAAAGCATTTCAAGGCAGGTTTAAATTTTCCACCCTGAAAAGTACAGAGAACTTTCACGGGCGCAAAAGGAGATAAAAAACCTCAATTACGGGGGCGCTTTAGGGTTTTTAAACCCTTTTTCCCCCGGAAAGCAGGGGGAGAGATACATGTTATATCCCTGGAAAATCCTGAGGGATGTACCGAACTTGCAACGAAAATCAATCCTAGAAAGCAAAAGACTTGGCAGACGAGCCCATCCCCCCAATGAAAAGAGGGGTGTCACTAGCACGTTAAGAGACCATAATAAGTGTCAGGGGCCCCGGGCTGTTCAACTGCCTCCCGCCACATAAGGGGGTTACCAAAAGACCCCGGCATCTTTAAGTGGCCTGGCAAGCACCTAAAGTCATTCCTGCACCCGGGGTGTGGGTCGTACTTTGGTTTTGGTGCAGCCGCAGAACACCTGGTTGATCAGGCGCTGATCCACCAGGAGGCCGGCCGGGCCGGGCCGCGGGGGGGTTGACCCCGAAAACTCTTCCCGGTAAACTCCAGGGCTCGTAAACCGAAATTATGGGAAAAAAATTTTCATTCCCGACACCCCAAAAATATGAAAAAAAAAAAAATTTTTTACATAAAAAATTAAATTTTAAAACACACAAAATGAAGAAGACATGCACAATTACTACTTACTAAGAATAAATACATGACACTTCCTTTATTTAAAATCTGGTGAGATTGATGGGATGGGAGAAGGGGAGAGTGTGGATGTTTTTATTGTTTGAAGGGAAATTCCCTTCCCTTAGGACTTTAGGTGATTTTTTTTTCCGGGGTTACTTCCCCCTTTTTTAAAAGCCATAGGACCAACTTGAGGTCACTGGACCCCGTGCACAACAAATCTGTCCATAGAGCTCTTACTCTTGTTCCCTTTTAAAAATTTCCTAAAATGGGCCTTTTTAACTTGTCATTGTACAGGTTGCCAAATGGCTTTCCGTAGCTGTGTCAGAGCGATTTTCATCCTTAAAGGTTTGCAGTTCAACCCACTTTGCACACATTTCCTTAATCTCTTTTTTCAGTTCCATATTAATTCTCGCTCTTTTTACCACAGGGATGGGGCCCAGAAGCTTTTCTTGGGGTCCATGGTGACTTATTTTGCAGTTACAAGAACTAAAAACACTGGGATAATGTGAAATGTACCGAATGTATGCGTAGATGCGACTGCACTGGCTGGCTTGTAAACACTGGCGCTGAGGCCACATGTGGGACTTGTCCCGGACGAATCACGTAAGGCGAGTTTTTTATTGTGAGGCGAGGCAAAATTTTTGCGTTCAAATGCTTTGTATGGCGGATTTAACGTAAGGCGATGCGTTCATAAGGTTGGGGTCCACTGTATTTCCTTTAAGAAATAATGTAAATACAATTAATTTGTTCCAGACACCTAAAAGTATTAACAAAAAATGAATTTTTTAAAGAATAACTATAGTTTTACATGCTGAAAACAATGACTAATGAAATGGATAAATGAACATTTAACATCACACTTACCTTTATCAAAGACTCTTGTTGGGGTATGGACAGCAAGGAGGGAAAAGGGAGGAGGAGCAGAGGTTATTGTTTGGAAGGGGGAATCACCCTCCATAAGGAATTCAGGTATCAAAGCCCTATCTGGGGTTACTTCCCTTCTTAGTCTTTTACTGGCACTGGACCCCTGTTGCACTAAAAGTCTGTCCAGAGAGCCCTGTTTCTGGCATCTCTAAGATTTGCCTAAAATGGGACAAGGTATTGTCACTGAACATGTTGCAGATACGGCTTGTATCAGCTTGGTTAGGGTGATATTTTTCCACAAGTTGGCACCGCATTCCACTTTGCACAGATATCCTTAAGCACTCCTTTTGCAACATTAGCTTCGTTGATTTCTACTTTCTTTGCCAGGATGGAACTGATTGTTGATTTGGAATTTCCATACATCCTGGCGAGCTCAGCCACACGTATGCCACTTTCGTATTTTTCTACAATCTATTTCTTGAATTCTATCGTGTTTCTCACCTTCTTTACGAAAGGTCTGGCACTAGGAACTTTCTTTGGGCCCATGGTGGCTTATTTCTCAGTCGCACTCAATAAACAAGCACAAAAAAATGGATTATTAAGAAATGTTTCGGATGAAGGCTCACTCGACCAGTGACAGAGCCAGACTGAGGCACGTACGCACGAGTGGTGGCATCCCAGGTGGGCGGACGTATCGAATACGGACGATTTCTGGGATGAGGTACGAAATCCGGAGCAAAATTTCGCTGAAAAATGTGGTCGAAATCCAAATCATACGATATCCGGTGCGGATGAAATCCGGGGTTCCACTGTATATTGGTGAAGCTAAAAAAAGAAAAAAAAATACTTTCAATGGATATAACCTTTTCTAAATTTTAATCTTAATAAAACTCTATCTTAAATTTTAATTTTTACAGAATCTGATTGCATAATTCATGGCTACATCAAGAAATTAGGCGGACCATTCACGTCGGCGTGGCAGACACGATATGCAAAGTTGTATCCAAATCGTGTTGAGCTCCACTCGGAATCGAGCTCGGGCAAACCTGAACTCATATTTATGGACCAGCTCGATGATGTGTCTGCAGATTTTGTGCAGATAAAGGGAGAGAACTGCATTGTTCTCAAGACTAAAGACAACAGAATTGTTTTAACGAACCCTGTAAGTATCTCTGTCAGTTCTAGATATGTTATGATAATGGCTCGATATCCCTTCCCTTCCTGTGATGAAACCTGAATATTTCCCATTTCCCAAGCATTATATGAGCCCTCTGGGTTTTGTGCTTCCCTATGAATACAAAATATTGTACAGTATAATTATACTATTACTATCAATAAAAGTTATCTACCTATCATATTTATTCCAGAATAATGTTAGGTATAACATAAATAATGTAGGAAAAAAAACATACCATGGGCAGGGATAGAACCTGCGGTCAGAGAGTCTCAAAACTCCAGACCGTCGTGTAATAATGTAATGTAGAAGCATGATAAAGATGCCCAAATTAATAAAAGCTGACATATAGAGAGGTATTGAAGGGTGGAGAATGGGAGGGATAAAAAAAAAGTGACCCCTACTATTACAGAAAACTTAATGTGCCTGAAAGGTAACTATAGAGGATCACTCTTATCCTATGCATAGACTAGAAAAAGTGCAATTTTCTTGAAAAAAAAATTCATAAGTAATTAGCTATGCACACGTTTCCTGGAATATCTTGGAAGTAAGTCATTGACCTATTTTACGTTGTATTACTGTCAGTAATAAACAGATTGAAAGGAATTTCCCAGCAAACATAAAACTGAATGTTTTAATTTTGGGTGGTAACACGTTTGAAGTGTCAGTAAGGGGTGATTCCTTGATTAATGACTAATTTGTTTACCGACATGAAGTTAGGAACGGAACTCAGTCAGTAAGTGAGAAGAGGCTGTATGTTAATAATAATAGCAATAATAATAATGATAATAATAGCAATAGTAATAATATTTCTCCATGGGGAAGTGGAACAGAATTCTTCCTCCGTAAGCCATGCGTGTCGTAAGAGGCGACTAAAATGCCGGGAGCAAGGGGCTAGTAACCCCTTCTCTTGTATATATTACTAAATTTAAAAGGAGAAACTTTCGTTTTTCCTTTTGGGCCACCCCACCTAAATGGGATACAGCTGGTACGTTGAAAGAAGGAAAGAAGTAATAATATTAGCAATAATAATAATAATTATAAAATTATTATTATTATTATTTTTGCTAATATTATTATTATTGCTATTATTATCATTATTATTATTATTGCTATTATTATTAATATACGGCTTCTCCTCACTTACTGACGGAGTTCCATTCCTAAGACCACGTCGGTAAACAAATTCGTCATTAATTGAGGAATCACCCCTTACTGACACTTCAAAAGTGTTACCACCCAAAATTAAAACTTTCAGTTTTATGGGAAGTACAATGCCTGCACTTTGAAGGAGGGGTTTGGGATATTATCAGTTTGGAGGGGTATGTTATATATGCTTCTAAACTGTTGTATCTGGGTGCCTCTGCAAAGACAGCGATTATGTGTGAGTGAGGTGAAAGTGTTAAATGATGATGAAAGTATTTTCTTTTTGGGGATTTTCTTTCTTTTTGGGTCATCCTGCCTCGTTGGGAGACGGCCGACTCGTTGAAAAAAAATAATAATAGGAGTAATAATAATATTAGCAATGATAATAATAATAATAATAATAATTTATAATAATAATAATAATAATAATAATAATAATAATAATAATAATAGCAATAATAATAATCATAGAAATAATACTGTATAATACAGAAAGTTAAAAAGTGCTGTGTACATAGAAACTACAGTGTGGGGATGTATTAAAAGCTTTTACTTTTTATTTCAGGATGAAATTGGCCTGAAGGAATGGTCCATTTCCTTAAGATCAGCACATAAGATGTCACTCGAGCTGCTCAGTAATATGGCCAAAAAGGCTGGGAGAATCTATGGTACTGAGGGCAACAATAAACCTTCTTTAATGGCTAGAAATGGCAATGGTAATTAACTTTAAGAAGACAGGGTGAAGTTTCCTAATGCACTATATGTTACCACATTGACCAACTATGATTCTCAAAATAGCCAGAATTCTGGTAAAAACTATTGCTGTACTTCCTCCTGATTAATAAACAGCTTGTTATGGCACCACAAGGAGAGAAGAAATTGTTAAGCAAAGTAGTTGTAGCAAAAAATGTGTATTGTTGTTAATGAATGCAACACTGATGTGTGCAAAACTCGTTCTTGTAAAATATGCAAGGCAAGTGAAAGAATACAATTGTGAATAAACCAGAAAATTATCTTTATTGAAAAAAATACAGGAAAAGTTCAATTTTTTTATTATTAAACTGCACTCTTAGCTTATTTAACAGAACTTATTAGTTCACATGAAAAAGTAAGTCATTCCATCTGGTTTCATAGGACCTCCTGGAGTTTGTGATACAGATTCTCAAGAGATAATATTTTTATCAGTGAGTTTTTTATAGAAATATAAAATGACGTGCATTTTTGAAAATCTCATCAGTTAGAGATAAAACAAGGAATATGCAGTATCTATTTTCTTGGATATGCTGTGTACATTAAGCTCTTTATAATAATATGTATTGCTACTTGGTACAGTTGTGCACATTCGTGTCTCAAAACAAGGACTGAAAATTGGACAAGATATGCCAACCTGGTATCCATTGGCTTTATTAACAGTGAATATTTTTAGATTGAAAATTGGGATATAAAAATACATGTGTGGAAAAACCCATTTATAGCAGTTCTCTCATTGCATATATCCCAAAATACACTTCAATCCTCCTGGTTTATTTTAAGTAAATACATCAGGTTAAGTTAATCTTGAGATTTTTTAAGTGTTCACAGCTCTATTTTTGTGCCAGACAGTAGGACAGAGTCTTTTTCATTAACTGTTACACTGACACTGTGATGATGTCTTACTGAGTGCGTCGTGAGATGAGATATGCGACTAATTTAATGTGTTGCCAGTGACAACATGAGCAGTAAACCCCTATGGTGGACCTGTTGCCAGCTCCTCTAGTTGACATTGTGTCAACTTTGGTGTTGGTAAAAAAGAATTTTCATACATGTTTCCTTCTTGTGTGTGCACTTAATTGTGCTGCTGTGAGAGTGGTTTACAATGTGTCACAGTACCGTTTATGATTCTACAGCTTAATCATGAACAACTGTTGGTATAGATTACTGTGAGGTTGCAGCAAGACATGTTTGCACAATCTTCTTGAGACATTCTTGCTGGGCTTTGTGCACCAACCCATATGCTTGTGACTCTGAAATGCAGATTACTGTGTTGAGAAAACATTTTGATCCTTGTGATAATTGTTTAATTTCCTGTTTATACAATCATCTTGTAAGATGTGTAGTTCTGTACAAGTACAGTATCATTGGTTATTATGACCACTGTGTATATTGTCAAGTATTGTCAGGAAACTGGTCACAAAAGTTTCCTCCTAATCCCACTCAGCTGATGTAAATCGGCAACAGGAGAACGTTACTATTTTTTTCACTCTTGTACTTTATTATCTCTCTGACATGTGAAGTGTCTTATATACATCCTAATACTATTTAATTTTTCATTGTATTTATGAAAACATTAAATAAATAATGATTTTATTAATATTTATTTATAAATAGCTGTGTGTGAAGTAAGTTTATACTGCTGTGTTGTATGTGACTGCATTGTATATTTAGGAAATAGTGTGTTGTGTTGAGGGATAGAATGTGAGGGGAAGCCCCTTAAAAGACTGAACGTTACTATGAGAAGCCTGAGATTGGCCTTCCTGGTGATCCTTTAAAGCAGAACTGTGTATCTACTTAATGGATTCATAATTGTATGAGGGACATTATCATACCATCATCCTCCTTTTTGTTGTTACCTGTTAAAAAAAATGTATTTTTTTTTAGTCCAGTGGTCCTCAGCATTACATCATTTTCATCATCATCATCATCACCACTGTCTCACTAAGGGAATAATTTCACATCATTAGGGGTTTGGCTTTTTTGTTAGTCTATTGTGTAATTACTGTAGAGATACTGCCATGCCATCAAGCTTTCTTTTTCTTGTACACTGTATTTTTCCAAGATTCATAGGCTTCCTCCATATGTTTCAGACTGGTGTTCCTTGAGTAGGAAAACTGTGTAGATTGTGGAAGTATTTAGCATCATGGGAGGTAATTTATTTAATGCATTCACACGTGATAAGGCATATGCATGTACATAGCATTCTGGGTTTAGCAATAATGAAAGTCTTGCCTGTGTTTTAACCCAGGGGTGCTGAGTAACATGTGCCAGTTTGTACTGTCATAGCAAGCTCACATTATTACAAGATAAGGGAAACTACAGTTCTCTTAGGCTGGTGCCTCGACGTTTTTTTTTGTTTTGGAAATGGCGGTATTATACCTTAAAATAAGAGACCATCATGCAGTATTATATGGAGCAGGGCCTAATTCAAATTTTATTCTCATTTATTTCAATATTATTTCATTTACAGTAATATTGTTTCTGTAATCTACTGCAGTTAACTTCAGTGGCTGTTATATGAATATTTCCCAAGTAAATAGAGCAGACTAGTTGATTATACAATAATTACTTTATTACCTTTGTGATCATAGGTGTTCAAAATACTCTTGTCGATACAATCAAAATTTTTATCAGTTTACAAAAATTTGTAACTAAAGTCAACTAAAAATTATTAAATTACATTGTAGTAAATCATATCTCAAGAATATTGCAGTTAAGTAATAGTGTTATTTTTATTTTGTGGATGGTCAATAAAGAAATTAGTTTATGCACTGTATAAATAATGCAGAATTTCAAGCTCTGTAGTTTTATTATCAATATTATTCCGAGTTTTAGAAAGAGTCAGATAAAAAAAAAAGTGATAAATTTTCCTGTTCACTGATTGACTAATTTGTATTTCTAGTTTGAGTGAAAATTTAGTTGTTTTAGTTTTAAGATGAAAATATGCCATCATTGAGCACCTTGTTGAGTTCTCAGTCCCCCACCTGTGGTACAGTATTTACATACATTTCTTATCACAGTACAGTATATACAAAAATATTCATCATTAAAGTATCTCTCTATTATACATAAGCTTTGTCATTCTTTAACATTTGTTTTGATATACCAGTTTAAAGCTAAATTATTATATATATAAAATTGTAACTCTCTCTACCCCTCTTGATTTCATAAATTTATAATACCTGTAATAGTTTACTAAATATTTTAAGTATGGACAAACTAGTATTATTTGTAAAATTTCATATTTCACATAGAATTAAACCGAATTTTTAATCGAAAACAATGTTTATGGTTGTCATTGTGACCCTATTTTCTGCAGGTTAATTTTATTTATTTATTTATTTTTTTTTTTGCTAAATGTGTTAATTTTACATATTGCCTTAAAGCCTCATATTATGTTACTGGATGTGATGTGCTAAAAATTACTGTAAAGAAAATTCTCTTGAATCAGATATTGTTTTCCCATAGACATTGACTATGTAAACTGAGATGTGTTTCAGGAAAATAAATTCATCCCTAAAGCTTCAGATCAAAATGAAAACTTATCCAAGAATTAAAAAAGTATATGTTAACAGGTACTGTACATATATTGACCAGTGATTCATCAGACTGCTGCAAATCAAAGCCTTTTTTTTTTGTCATTGCATTCTTACCATTTGATGGTCTTTTGGAATTTATTTAAGGTATCAGTAAGTATGAAATAACAAACATCATATCTGGGCAAAATACGGTAACAGTGCACTTATACCTTCTTGCATGAGCTGAAGTATGAAATACTGCTTTCCCAGATTGGAGATGCCTTAGATTATGTAGAGTTGGACTTCCCTCACCAGGGTGGGTGAAGCCTGCAGTGATAACTAAATACTACCTCATTTGTTTGCTGCGCATGGAGACTTATACTCATCATTTACACTGACCTAGAAATTGAACCTGCTCCTGGAGATGTAGCTTTTTCTTAATACACTTTATTGGTGGGCAAATAAAGGTAAAACAGGAGGTTTATTGTAGGTCCACCTAAATCAATCTTAAATCATTACTTTGAGGTCTGTCACATGTTGGCTTTTAGTGTATGGTCCAACTAGTTTGTGGGGTTTCTTTAAGGGTGTATTTGGATGATGATGGGTTGGTGAGGGGGCTCTTAGCCAGGTGGCTGTCTGCAATATAGCAGTGAATTTAGTTAAGGGTTAGAAAATATTAAAGGGTAGACACTTTTGGCCCTGTGGCTATCACCAGGCCCTGTGATGTTTACTTGGGTATTTTTCCCTGTTAGTGTGTTTAGTATTTTTCTTTGTTTAGTACTTTTCTTTGTTGAGCTTGGTGGTGGTGAGACTATGGAGTGCTAAAGTGTCTAAGCCACTGTTTATGGAGAGTATCCCTCATAACTTACCTAATCATAGAGCACCTTCAACCATGGCTGTGTCTTCTTTCAAAATGCAACATTGGTTTAAAAGAGCCTCTGTGAAATGCTCAGTGAAATGTTTCATGGTATGCTACCTTGACAACTCTACCAATTTTAGAAAATGCTTATGACCTACATAGGCTTTTATAAAGTGTTTAAACCTTCTTTCCTCCCTCCTCAGGGAACTTTTAAGAATATCTTGTTTTGACAGTGACACTGTAATACAGTTTTAAACTAATGCAGGTTATTGTAACTGTGTGATAGTATTTATTTGCACTGTGTCTGTTCATACTAGAGTAGACCCTTGAATAATGCCCATTAAAACACTTTTTTGTGATAATATAGTTGAAAAATTGCAACAGATTTGCAGATATCAACAACTTATATGAGTGGCCTGTATTTCCCCAGTTGCTTCAGGATGCACATATGGAAAAATTGGGCCTATTTTGGCTGTGACCTCAAGATCTTGGAGAGGCTGCAGAAGGCAGTGGGAAGCCACTGGGATCAGTGAGATGTTAAATATGCCTCACTCTCCTGCCATATCTGGGTTAGTTCATCTTCAGTTTTCAGGCCTCTAACTGAGCTAAGTTTATATCTATTACTCCTGTTTCAAAATGCACCCACATGTTTATCCTCATCTTTGTTGCCTTCGATGATTCAGTTTTGGGCACAGCAGTCCGTCTTGCCAGGGTAAAATCTGCTGAGGGAACTGCAATGGATTTCATTCAACATCCTTTCCTGATTCTTTTCCTTATACTTGTGACCTTTCTTGTTACTCCTGCCCTGAGGCACACAAGCTGTCCTCCAGAGACTGCACTCTCTTGCTCTCGATCTTGGAGCTGGGTAAAGATGCTTCTCAGCTGGGCTGCTATAGGCCTTTTGTGCTACTTCCATGTCTTGATAAGTTCATGGCATATTAAGTTTCTGCACACTTGTTCTGGTGGGTCAAGAAACACAACCTTCTTCATAGTTACTTTAATGATTTTGGAAAATCAATGGTATACTGGACCTTCCTCTCCTGCAAATTTCTCCTTGTGGCCTTACAGGATATACAGGGGGCATTTGACTCCATCTCCCAAACTGCACTCCTCTATATGTTGGGTAGAATGAGACTTTATGGAACCTTCCCTTCTGTGGATACATAGTTATCTTGAGGCTCACATGTTTCAAATGTCTGTTGGAGGCATTGCCTCTGGTTGTCACCCAGTATACGCTGTGCTGTATGACCCTTGTAAGTTTAGCGCTTCATTTTTTATAATATTACCCAGTATACAGGGGCATTTCCCAGTGGTCAGTTTTCTGTCCCCTTCTGTTTAATATCCTCATGCCAGACCTGCTGTTCTATCCTGAGACAAATCTTGTGTATGCAGTTGGTGTTGCACTTCTGGGTGGTGTGGACACACTTTGGTTGGCTCAATCCTGTGTTCAGGAGGGGCTGACCTGTGTGACATCTTGCGCAGTAGAATGGGGACTTCAGGTCAGTTTGGTTAAATCGTGCTTCATGCTTTTTACTATGGTAAATGCTGCATTCCCATCCTGTATCTCTCAGCCCCACTCTTCTCCCATTGGTCACCTCCCACAAATGGCTAGTTGTCACTATGTGCCTCCTCTAACATGAAGGAGCCATGTCATGACATTGGATCTGTCTGTGCTCACCAAGTAGTGCTTATGAGATATGTTTCCAACACTAGGTGGGGAGTGCATCATGACCTCTGCCTCTATTATTTACAAGGCAGCTGTTTGCAGTAAGCTCTCATATACTACAAAGTGTATAGCTCTATTTTGCCCACCCTCTGTACAGTTTGGATGTCTTCCAGAATGCAACTCTCCAAGTTCTGGGAGTTTTTCCCTCCACCCCAATTGCAAGTTTGATGCTGAGGTCCAGTTATACCATACTTTTTATTGACTCAGTCTTGTCTGGCTCTACTATCCTTTCTTGTCTGGCTCTACTATCCTTTTTTCTTTTGGCCCGCAGAACACATCTTGTTCTTGCGTCTCTCCTTAGAGCTCTAGGTTGGAGTGTCAGTCTCTGATGGATCTCGTCTCATGCAGGTAATCAGGGTAATGAGGTTGCAGACTGAACTGCCTAACTTGCCCACTTTCAGCCATCACTCCTCTTCCTCTTAACCAAGAGGATTTCATGTTGGAGCTGAGCTCCATCTGGTCTGATGGGCATGGCACCCCTCCTGGGCACTCAATGTGGCTCTGAAGTGCCTTTGAATGGGCCGCTCTGAACCCGGGGGCTCACCTCCACCGTCTTATCTTTGGATGATTGGCTTCCCTACCTGTAGGTGATGTCTCGGCTAGCTGGATATAGCAGAACATTTTCTTCCTAGTTCCATTGTGCTCACATGCATCTCCATGAGTCCCTTCACCAGTTGGGGTACATGAATATATGTGTGTGTGTGTACTCATCTAATTCACCTAATTGTGGTTGCAGGGGTCGAGACTCAGCTCCTGGCCCTGCCTCTTCACTGACCACTACTGGGTCCTCCCTCTCCCTGCTCCATGAACTTTATCATATCTCGTCTTAAAAGTATGTATGGTTCCTGCCTCCACTACATTGCTTGCCAGACTATTCCACTTCCTAATAACTCTGTGGCTGAAGAAATAGTACTTCCTAGCATCCCTTTGACTCATCTGAGTCTTCAGCTTCCAATTGTGACCCCTTGTTTGTGTCCCATCTCTGGAACATCCTGTCTCTGTCCACTTTGTCTATTCCACACAGTATTTTGTATGTCATTATCATGTCTCCCCTGACCCTCCTGTCCTCCAGTGTCGTCGGGCTGATTTCCCTTAACTTCTCTTCTTAGGACATTACCCTTAGCTCTGGAACCAGCCTTGTTGCAAACCTTTGCACTTTCTCTAATTTCTTGATGTGTTTGACAAGGTGTGGGTTCCAAACTGGTGCTGCGTACCCCAGTATGGGCCTTACGTACGCAATGTATAAAGTCTTGAACTATTCCTTATTGAGGCACCGGAACACTATTCTCAGGTTTGCCAGGCACCCATATGCCACAGCAGTTATCTGGGTTATCGGGGTTATCGGGTTAATGTGTGCTTCTGGCGACGTACTCCGTATTATACTCACCCCTAGATCTTTCTCCTTGAGTGAGGTTTGCAGTCTTTGGCCGCCTAGCCTATACTCTGTCTGCAGTCTTCTTTGCCCTTCTCCGATCTTCATGACTTTGCATTTGGCAGGGTTAAATTCTAGGAGCCAGCTACTGGACCACACGTTCAGCCTGTCCAAGTCTCTTTGTAGACCTGTATGGTCCACATCTTGTGTGTGTGTGTGTGTGTGTGTGTGTGTGTACTCACCTAATTGTACTCGCCTAATTGTGGTTGCAGGGGTCGAGACTCAGCTCCTGGCCCCGCCTCTTCACTGATCGCTACTGGATCCTCTCTCTCTCTGCTTCCTGAGCTTTGTCATACCTCTTCTTAAAACTATGTATGGTTCCTGCCTCCACAACTTCACTTGCTAGGCTATTCCACTTGCTGACAACTCTATGACTGAAGAAATACTTCCTAACATCCCTGTGACTCGTCTGAGTCTTCAACTTCCAGTTGTGACCCCTTGTCCCTGTGTCCCCTCTCTGGAACATCCTATCTCTGTCCACCTTGTCTATTCCCCGCAGTATCTTGTATGTCGTTATCATGTCTCCCCTGACCCTTCTGTCCTCCAGTGTCGTCAGTCCGATTTCCCTTAACCTTTTCTCGTACGACATTCCCTTGAGCTCTGGGACTAGCCTTGTTGCAAACCTTTGTACTTTCTCTAACTTCTTGACGTGCTTGACCAGGTGTGGGTTCCAGACTGGTGCTGCATACTCCAGTATGGGCCTTACATACACAGTGTACAGTGTCTTGAACGATTCCTTATTAAGGTATCGGAACGCTATTCTCAGGTTTGCCAGGCGCCCGTATGCTGCAGCGGTTATTTGGTTGATGTGTGCCTCCGGTGATGTGCTCGGTGTTATGGTCACCCCAAGGTCTTTCTCCCTGAGTGAGGTCTGTAGTCTTTGTCCACCTAGCCTATACTCTGTCTGCGGTCTTCTTTGCCCCTCCCCAATCTTCATGACTTTGCATTTGGCTGGATTGAATTCGAGAAGCCAGTTGCTGGACCACATGTCCAGTCT